AGCCTAGATCTCCCTGACCCGGCCCTCCCATGCTGGCCCACTACCCTGGCAGCCCAAAACAATCTATGGTCAGTGGCGGCTCTGTTGGCCAGGAGGCTGCTGAGGTGGCTTTTTAATCCTTCAGCTGTGCCATCCTAGTGATTGCTTTTATTAGGAAATGTAATGAAAAAGACTATATGAAGCCCCTGCCAGAAAAAAAAAAAAGCTAATAAGATTTTACACCAAGTGTGGCGAGAAAAGAAAAGGGGGAAAAAGCACATTAGGAGTCAGATAATGAGATAAATGAAGACCGCAGGGAAGATCAGTTTTGCAGACTTGCTGGATGGTTGTAAAATTTTTAATTTGCTGAATTCTCTTTTTTCCGTCGTCTCTGATTCTTCCCACCTCTGTCTTTCCGTGTCTCTCTGATGCTCTGAAGCACGTCTGTGTTTCTCTCTTGGTCTCTCCCTTTCTTCCTCGGTTATTCTCCCTGTGTCAGCGCTTTCAAATCTCTGTGTGTGTGTGTGTGTCTGTGTGTGTCTGTGTGTGTGTGTCCCCATCCTTGCATGCACACTGATGACTTCTACAGGAGGCTGGAACCTGGGCAGCGAGGACGCACCCAGTCAGTGGAAGCAACGGGACAAAGGGCCGCTTTGTAGGCAATGGCTATGATTCGGCTAAAGGCAGAGAAAGAGGGAGAAACCAAGGGGAGAGGGAGGGAGGACAGGAGATCAAAGACCTGGGAAGTAAGGAGGAAGAGAAAGCCCCTGCTGCTCCCGCAAATCGATTCTCCACAACGCCCGCCTCCCTGTCTGTGCTCCGAGCTCCGGAGCAGAATGCCACCTCCGTGGGATGCCAGGCCTGAACAGAAGGGCCTGGGGCACTGGGCAGATATGGAAGCCAGGCTGCCGGGGACCTCTGAGCCTGCCTTGTCTGGCACCCGCCCGCCACTCCTGCTTTAAGGAGGCCTCTCCAAAATCTTGTACTGCTCCTTTTGACTGACCCCAGCCCCTTGCTCCCTAGTTGGGGGTTCCAAGGTGTTCCTTTGCTGCCTGTACAAGTTCCAGCCCACAGCTGCAGGTGAAGGGACTGAGAGTGGGTGTGGATGAGTAGCTTCCCTGCAGGGTGTGCAGGGTGGGGGTGGGGCTGCAAGGTACAGGAATGAGAGGCTCAGGATGGGGACACATTGGTAGTTACATGAAGACCCATCTCAGCCCGCCATCTCTTGTTCCTTTCCCAGTGAGGACTCATCTTCTGTTTCCCTCCCAGCAAAGCCATCTCTGGATGCTTCTCCCTCTGGAAAAGTATGCACTGGCCATTGCAGGGATCATAACAGAAGATAAAAGAACCATAAGATGGGTCTGGGGGTTTAGCTCAGCGGCATAAACGTCTGCCTTGCAAGCAGGCAGTCATGAGTTCAATCCATGGTACCGATAAAAACGAAAAAGACAAAAAAAAAAAAAAAAAAAAAAAAAAAAAAAAAAGAACCATAAGAATTGAACACAGAGCCAAGGATATAGCTCAGTGAGTTAAGCACCTGCCTGGCAAGCATGAGGTCATGAGTTCAATCCTCAGTACCAAAAAAAAAAAAAAAAAAAAAAAAAGAATCAAGCACAGGGGCTAGGGATTTAGGTTAGCGGCATGAGCGCTGCCTGGCAAGCACAAGGTCACAAGTTCAATCCCCGGTAAAAATAAAAAATTAAAAATTAATAAAAAGAATCAAGCACAGCGGAAGGGAGGGAGAAATTTATTAGGAATCAGGCAAAAGATGGAGAGAAATCTAAATCTGAAACGTCAACAAAACTCTGGGAAGTCACTGGGAAACCTCCAGGAATGGGGGTGGGGAGAGCTCTAATCTTGGGTACCCAAGACAGGCTAGGAAGGAGCTAGGATTGGAACAGAGGAGGGAAGTCCCCAGAGAGAAGATGGAATGGGTTGAAGGTCAGTTGGGGGGTGGCATTTGTGGAGTCCAGGTTAGGAAAATGAGCTGATTATAGCCAGATCTGGTGGTTTATCCGTGTTGGCAAAGGTATTCCTGCACTGGAGGCTGAAGGCTGAACCAGGAAGATAAAGACCTTGGACAAACCAAGGTCAAGACTAGCCCAACAATTCAGACCTTATCTCAAGAAATAAGCCAGGCATGGTGGCTGATGACACACATGTAATCCCAGCACTCTAGGAGGCTGAGGCAGGAGAATCACAAGTTCCAATTTAGCCTAGGCAATATAGTGGGATCCTGTTTTAAAAAAAAAAAAAAGATTGGAGATGTAGCCCAGTGTGAAAGTCCTGGGTCCAACCCCTAGCACTCCCAAGGGAAAAAAAAGTAATACATATAGGCCTATGGTTAATATGATTGTTAACATCTCTACTTCATGCTTGAGGAAACCCAGCTGTGGGCTAGGACTTGTGCAGGCTGCAAAGAGACACCTCGGAACCCCCAACCCAGGGGACAGATTAAGTGCAGGAGCCAGGAGAGCCAGGAGTAAGGCCTCCTAATATGTCTCTCAATGGCCCTCCAGCACAGGAGACAGTCTGGAAGAGTACTGGAGATTGGTCTACAGGGAAACAGCGTGGTAGTTAACAATGTGAACTTCGGGGGCTGGGGATTTAGCTCAGCGGCATAAGTGGTCGTGAGTTCGATCCCTGGTACCAATAAAAACAAAAAAGACCAAAAAAAATAAAAAAAATAAAAATAAAAACAATGTGAACTTCTGGGCTAGACAGTCTGCTCTTATCCTCAGGGTGACCTTATACTGGAGCTTGAGCACTTAGGTCACCCTCAGAGAGACTTGAAGACTAACTGCAAGCATGTAGGTTAAAACATGGGCCAGGCATGGTGTTGCATGCCTGTAATCCCAAGAAGAATTACAAATTATAAGGCCAACCCAGGCAATTTAACAAAATAAAAAACAGCTGGGTGTGGTGGCATATGCCTATAATCCTAGCCCTCAGGAAGCTGAGACAGGAGGCAAGGCATATGGCTCAGTGTGTAGTCCCTGAGTTCAATCCCCAGTCCTGGAGGACGTAGGGAAAACTACACAAATTGGGCACAGCACTGGCTGTGAACTCAGATACTCTCTGCTTCCCAGGAGATGGAGGAGGCATCTTTGGTGCTTGGCCACTGGCCAGTCTCCATTTTTCATATTTCATCCCCCACCAGAAATATTAGAGGTGAACCCCTCCCAAGGACAAGCTTCTTAGGGGCACACAGTCCTGCAAAGAGCCCCCCCCCCACCTTGCTCTCTCCTGCGGACCCCAGAGTTCTCAGGCCCCGGCAGCAGCCCAGTCCTGTGGCTCCCTGCATTGTATGAGCTGCTGCTCTCTTTCTCTGCCTCCTTCCCTCCCCCAACTCCGGCTTTTTCTTTTTATGGAGAAGGCACAAATTAGGCAGAAAGGAAAATGTTGACAGTTCCCAGCCCTCCCTTACTGGGGATAAAGAGAAATACGTTAACGGTTGAAGCTTTAGGCGGATCAAACACAGTTTGTGAGACGCTTCAAATGTATTATTCATCTCACCAATGAGATGCAATCTTGGGCTTTCTCTTTTCACCCCATCAAGAGGAAACCTCAGCTACCGTAGAGATGCCAGGCTCCAGAGAGGAGGGGGAACTTTCAGAAAACCACCTTTTCAGTATTGAACCAACAAGTCTATCTTGTGTCCATCTTGTCTCTCCTGAAGATTTCCTTTTTTTTTTTTTTTTTTTTTTTTTTTGCAGTACCAGGGATTGAACTCACTACCTTGCGCTTGCCGCTGAGCTAAATCCCCAGCCCTTCCTGAAGATTTCCAAATGAGATGGGTCAACCTGCCAGACAGTCTAAGAGGGTCAAGGCTCCAGGTGAGATCCACAAGAACTGAGCACCTGAAATCAAAGAGAAAACTAGGCCAAGCATAATGGTACATACCTATAATCCCAGCACATGGTGAGGCTGATGCAGGAGAATCACAAGTTCAAACCTAGCTTGGACTATGTACCAAGACCCTGTCTCAAAAGGAAAAAAAAAGAAAAGAAAGAAAGAAAGAAAAAAGGTTGGGGGTATAGTTCAGTGTGAAGGCCCTGTTAGGAGACAGGAACTGGACGTGTTGATGCTAGAAGCTCTTCTACATACCATGCAAACTCAAGCAACGTAACTCTAAGGAGAAGCAATCGCCAGCCACCAGGACTTCAGAACTGTTTTCACTTGGACAGAGCTGCCCAGGGAAGGTCTGCATCTAGCCGTAGGAGCTTGGCCTTATATTTGAACTGATAAAGAACCCGCCACACCTTCCTGGGGAGTCCACATCTACTTGGTGGCCAGTTGGTCACCAAGGACTCCTCTGCATTCCTGCCAAGAGTCTAGAGCTCTCCCCCAGAGCAGAAACCTCCCCACAGTTCAGTCCTGCTACCTCCTAAAACTTAACCTTGCACTGTGTTGAACAAATCTGGTATGGAGTAGGGAGTGGGCACTGCTGATGAACAGGAAATTGGAATAATGAGGAAAGAAAGCAGTTTGACATGATGGATCAAAAAGCCTCGAAGCATACATACCCTTTGACCCATGTCTTAAAACTGCCCCAAAGAAACATCAGGCAAGCATGCAGAAATGTACAGAAATATTCACACCTGTCTATAACAGTAAGACTCGCAAACATTTTAAAATCATAATTATATAAGATTGGTTGACTAGCAGCCTTTTGAAGCAGTCACTTGAAATCAGATTCTAAAACGGAAGTGGTGGTACCCACCAGCAATCCCAGCACTCTGGAGGCTGAAGCAGGAGAATTGCAGAGAGTTCCAGGCCAGCCTGGGCTACAAAGTGAGCTTAAGGCCAGCCTGAACTGCATAGCAAGACCCTGTCTCAAAACAGGGGAAAAAAAAACCCAACAACAACAAAAATAGAAATTAGATTCTGTAAAAAGTATCAAAAAAAACTGGTATATAAATATATTTTCATTCTGAAAGAATTTCAAATAATAAAGTTCCCCTTTAGGCCTAATTCAATCCTATCGCTCCCACAAGGAACCCACTGAGACTCATTCAATATGTATCCTCTTGCTTTTTATTTTTGAAGAACCATATTTAATGTAAACAAGTAATAAAATCAGGTTATGCAAGTTGGTAACCATAGATGCATGTGTCCCTGCAAAGAGAAAAGAGTGGCTATTAGACACCACAATGTGCCCGGATTCAGCTCTAAATAGCAAACTGCAAATGATTTTTATTTTCTTCTGCAGGAGTTATTGTATTTGCTACATGAACAAGACAGAAAAACAATGATATTTTTAAATATAGTGAAGCAAGTAGCTTCCTCCGAGGACTGGGAGTGCCGTTTACTGTTTGCTCTTCTGCGCCTTTTAGATTTTGTACCTTGGGCATGTACTCTCTATTCTAGAAATGAATAAAAATTTTTAAAAATTTAATATGGCGATAAAATAAAATGAGAGGGCTGGTGAGAAGACCTCCAAAGAATGGCAAGCCTTAAAATTCTGAGAATGTGTAAAATTCTTCAAGCTGCGTTTATAGTTTTTGATCTGCTCAGGATTTGCTCGAATAGTGTGATATCTGTCTTGCCAGGTCAGGAATTGGGATCTCTGACCTGGAAGAAATGAAGTAGGGTCTAAAATAAACCAGGCTGCCAGCCAGAAATAACTTATAATAATTTACGGCACAGCAACGATAATGGCTCTGCTGAGACTGTTTTCATACTTTTTCAAAGTACTTTTCATCTTCCTTTGGTTCTCCAAATTTTCCTTGAGGCTACCTGCTGCTGTCAGGCTCCCAGGGAGGAAAGGAAGGGAACAAAGACCTCGTCTAAAGGGTCATTCATTGTTTGAAGTCTGTCTGCAAGATCTGTACTTCCCAGGGCTGGGCCATGCTCTCAGACAGCAATGTCTCTCCTTTCCAGAGCCATCTCCCCCGTATACCCAGTGTGGCCATCTGCCTCTGAGCTGCTGCCTTGTCAAACGAGGGCATTCCACCTTGCCCCAAAACTAGTTGTGAGGTGTGGTGACAACAAGACTGTCCATCAAGGAACAGAGGGGTCCTCAGGGCTGGAACATCTTACAGGCTCCCACCTGGGAGCTCTCAGACCTGATACAGTTACTCCCCATCCACTGATGACATCTATTTTCAATCAACTATACTGAGAGAAGAGAACCCTGGGAAGTCTCCCTCCAACCCGCCCTGCCAGTCACATCCTCCTCTGCCTCTGCCATCTCTCTTCATTGTAACCCTGTGCCTGTGTCACGTACAGCTTCGCCGGCCAAATCGAAAGCACATTTTGGGCCCAAATCATTTTATGGCACACAGTAGGCCCTCCAAGATGATTTACCAAATGAATAATGAATGCAACTTATAGAGCTGCCTCTTCTTCCTGACTAGAGCTCACTCCAAGCTGGACCAGAGGAGATGTGAGTAGACAGGTGGAGGGGGGCTGGGGGGTACAGTGGGGTTAAAACATGGACTGAGCTTCGGTCCGAGGCCTTGGAGATGGGACCTATGTAGGCTCAGTTTCTTCGTATATGTATGATCCTTAGAGCAAGTTGGGCTTGAAAACTTAAATGCCCACAAAACCAAAAAAATAATAGAGAGGGAAACAAGAGGTGGAGGATGCGACATTCAGAGGCACTGCACTGCAGCACGACCGACATTTGACATTTGACTGTGGGTCAAGTGTGGCAAGAGTCCCTGATTATCCGGAGAAGCCAGAAAGCTGGATTTTTATGGGAAGTCTCCCAGGGTCAGGTCAAATCCATAGGCCATGCACAGCTGGGAGCCCACTGTGTGACCCTTGCCCGGGCTGACCACTCAGCTTCATAAAGCCTGTGAATTCAGGGCAGTGGCCTGAAGACTTACACTGTTGGAAATAACCTTTTCGAGGAAGGACCTAAGATCCTGGCCTCATTCTGGCCACTGAACCTCTGGCAACTGCCACCCTGACCCCTAAACTTCAGCTTTATGCAAATACAGGTCACCCCTTTTCTTTTCCCCACCCTGGCGCTCATCAGTGGATAGAAATGGGGTGGACTGGGGACAGTGACAGCTTGTCCTCCATTGAGCCAAGATATATCCCCTCATGTCCTGCTACCCCACCAAGTGCCTACCCTGCCCAGAAGTCCAGGCCGAGGAGCAGCCCCCCAACCAACACTGCCCTGCACAGGGACCCCATAGCGATCCAGCCTCACCCAATAAATTCCTGTCAGAGAAGTTGTCAAGGCCTGGGAAATAAATAATGATATTTAACATTTTGTAATAACAACAATTAACCAGTAAATAATGTCCTTTAAACTGCAAACGCTGGAGTAAATTAATTCTTCTAATGAGCTGTCAGGCACGGAAGAAAAAAAGTCCCCGTGTTCTTTGGTGCCATGCAGCTGCCGTGTGAGCAGCCGGGGAAGCTCACCTCGGGCCCTGGGAGCTCATTACGAGAAGCACGCGGCACTGGCTGCCCAGGAAAGCAGCTCGGCCTGCCTGCCCACGTGGGCGCCCGGCGCCGCCCGCCCCTTCGCCCCTCCGCCCCGCCCGCTCCGGCTCCCACAAACCCCGCCAGGTTCGCAGAGCGAGCAAACGGCGCCCAGAGCATTTCAATTAGAGTCCCCCCCCCATCCCGGTCCCCCGCCGCTTTTGTGCGCCTGGGCAGCTCTCAGCGTCGAGGTGGTTGGGGACAGGAGCTGGAGGCAGAGGAGGGGGACAAGGCCAGCGCGAGTCCCGGAGTCCTTGCTGGGTGACCTTGGAGAGGTTTCCTGCCTTCTCTGGGCGGGGATGTCGTAAATGGAAATGTGAAGCTAATCAAACCAGATGTGATTACTTCTGAGCTCTTGAGAAACCTGTGACCATAAAAAAAAAGAAAGAAAGAAAAAGAAAAGCACCTAAGAGAAGGCAGCTCTTTATGTACTGATTCAGAGTAATCTCCAAGATATATTGTCAGGTGACAAAAGCAAGGAACAGAGAGTGTGCAGGAAATGCTACATCTTGTGTATTAAAAATAGGATGAAGGAGAAAGACTGCGCCTGGATTTTCTTGTCCAGGTCTAGATGAGGGAAGGATAATAGTCTTTGCCGCTGGGAGGCAAGGGGGTTCCAGGGAGATGTCACCAAGCAACCTTTCCCACCCCTATTTTCTGGAAGCATGTGTAAACATTACCTGCTCCAAAAAGTGTCACAAATGGCAAAGCCACGCACATCAGAGGTCAACTTGTCTCTCTATAGCTTTTAGAAAATGGAAACTCAACTGAGACCCCAGCAGAAACCTCTCCAGAGCCAGAGCAGGCTGCCTCTCTTAATAACCTCCCCAGACGCATAATGAGTCAGGAAGTCCCTCCCAGGAGCTAATCCCATCCCCTCCTGCTTCATTTGGAATTTGTCTTTGTTTAAAGGACCCATGGATAATTTTCTGCAGAATCAGGGAGAGACATGAGGGTTGTTCCAGCACCCTGAGGCCGTACTGACCTGGGTTTGAGTCTGCATCTGTCGTTTGCTGGTTCTGTGACATTCTGTCACTCTCCACTGCTGACTTCAGTGTCCAGAGGGCCCTGCAGCCTCTGGAGAGGAGACAGAGAGGAGGCAGGAGGCCGAGCCTACTCAGCAGGCATTTCCCTCCCATGAGGGCCAGCCCAGCCCCGTGAGTGCTCCCCAGGATGGACAGAGCCCCAGTTCATAAGCCAGGACCTCTGGCCCCCAGATCTATGCTTCCCCAGCTGAATGCCCACCCTCAACTCCAGAACAGATGGACATGCAGCCTCCTTGTGACCACAGGCAGCTACACCTGCTAGCATCTAAATTGTCATGTGCTAAATCCAGGGCAGGCTGGAGGTGGCTGGTGGCTAAGAGATTGTACTAGAGCCAGAAAATCCCTGGGGTCCATCTCTGAAAGTACCTGAGGGCTGGAGCTGAGAGTGGGGGGCAGGGAAGGTGGTTTTTCTGCCCAGTCACCATCTGACCAATTCCCCTCCACTTTCCTTCCTCACAAGGTGTACCCTATGAAAGAGTTACCTAGCCAAAACATATACATAAAGCCCTGGCCTTGGCCATTTGGAACTGGGTGCTCAAGGCATGGGCTCACAGAAAAAGCAGAGGCGAGAGAGCTGAAAGATCTCCAGTACAGGGGCTGGGGATTTAGCTCAGCAAAGCGCCTGCCTTGCAAGCAAGCGGTCGTTTGATCTCCAATATATATACTCTTTGCCAGACATCCAACCTACTGTATGTTCATTTGAAACCTAGCAACCTGTGGTTTGGATAATACTGTTCCCATCAGATGAGCAGGATAAGAGAAGTCCCAAGAGTTTAAGACATTTGCTTAGGATTATTCAACTAATAAGGGCTGGGGCCACAATTTGGACTCAGATTGGCTGACTCCAAAGCCACACCTCCCAACACTCTGCAGCCTGTTCCAACCCCCACTCCTCACTGTGTGGATACAGCAGTGGCCCCCTGGTGATGCCGAGCTGGAAAGCAGGGAGGAAGCTGGCTCAGCCTCCTGACCCTCTTACCTCCTCAACACTGTCAGCTCAGTACTGCAGCAGTGAGGTGAAAGTTCAAAGGAATAATTGCTGATTATGAGAATTCATAAGAAGAGCTTTGCCTTCCTGGCAGCCTGGAAGAAAAGCACTGGCTTCATTGATCCAGCAAGTGGAGGCTGAGGGCACCTCCGATGTCATCTGTAGCAGAGTACGGGGCTTGAAGCTTAGATATAGGACTCTGACCAGCATGGGCTCACATCTAGGCTCTTGCACTCAACAAGCTTTGTGATTCAGGACAAGTTACTCAACTTCTCTGAGCTTTGGTTTCCTCCCCAGCAAAAGGTGGATAATTATTACCTAAAGTATCTCCTTGGGGGCTGGGGATTTAGCTCAGTGGTACAGCACCTACCTGGCAAGTGTGAGGTCCTGAGTTTGTGTCCCAGTATCCTCTTCCCCCCAAGAAAGCATCTCCTTTGGCTGTTGTGGGGGTTAAAAAGAAGGTGGTGTAAAGTACTTAGCACAGAGCCTATGTACAAAGTAAACACCTAATAGAGTCTGTCATGGCGAGGTGTTTTTCTTTTCTGCCCTGGTAGACACACTTGTCTCCAAGTACCAGAAGGGCAGTTGTGCTAGTACCTGAGGTAGCAGCCTACCTCTGAAGCTCTCTGATTTGGGAAGCAGCCCAGAAGGGCCTCCAGGCTTGGATTTTGCAGAGGAAAGCAGAAAATCAGAGCTGAAGCCAGCAAAACAAGGATCCCAGCAGTGGACCTGAGTCAGCTCCTTCTGGGTCTGGGGGTTTAAGGGCCTTCCTCAAAGTCGCACTGCCTCTGGGTCACCCTGCCCTCTATGCAGCTGCCCTCTTGGCCTCAGCCTTCCCAAGACTCTGGGCACCTAGGCATGAAGCTCCAGCTGGGAAAAAAAGGGGACTCCAGTGAACACAGGAAGCTGGGTCTCGGCCACACGGAAATTAAAACCAGCTTGCCCAGCGCTGAGTTACCATGTCGCCTGAAATCAGATTGATTTCTTGGGCTTGTTGTGACGGCAGTGTTGCAATTGATTCGTCTGGATGGCGAGGAGTTTATCTATTTGGAGCTGTCTGTCATTGATCTGAATAAGCTTCTAAAATAGCCCAAATACCTAGTGAGGGCGAGGTCACCACCAACCCTGGCTCAATATTAATTATAATAATGAACAGGCATGAGGAGGCCTGGTTCATTTCCTGCCCTGCAGGGCTGGCCTCTGTGAGGTTTGATGTTTAATATTCATTTTGAGCCAACAACGTGCAAGAAGCTGGTGGCCGATCCTGCTCGGAAAGTAGTTTGCACGGAGAGTGTGATTCTGACCTCCTCTTCCATGAGACTGAGAAGGGACAGTGCTGCTGGAATAGAAAAAGGTTAGGGTTAGATGTTCCCATGACTAAACGTGGATGGACATAGAACATCTGACTCATACAGAAGCCTAGACAAGTTTCATCTCTTCTCTGAGTCTGTTTCCTCCTCTGTAAAGTAGGAATTATAACACTTATTTCTCAGAGCTGCCACTTCTAGCTAAAAAGCAAGATTGAACAAAATAAAATTGGAAGGTTTTTCTGGGCTACCTTCTGGTTTAAGGGAGGAACAGCAGGATTCTATTTCAGATAATATCTAACCTGCTCATCCTTGGTATAAAGTGAGAATTCACCCAGTGGATTGACTCAATGAATCAATTATTGATTCAGTGAATATTTATTGAGCACCTGCTACATGCTGACTAGGAAAAGCTAGTTAACACACCATGGTCCCCTGCCTTTGAGGAGAAGATATCTGGAATTATCGAGCGAGCTAGGGGTTCTCACGGGAGGTGGTCAGAGGTAAAGGTGAGCCCTGTCTCTGGGAGACAGCTTGGGAGTTGCACGTAGAAGCCAGCAGATGGACATGGGGACATTGGGGGTGGCTGATGGTCTGAGGCAGAACATTCCATTAAACATCAGTCAACAAGAGCCCCTGCAGAGAGCATTGTTCCGGCAGGAAGAAGGGGATCCCTGTCCTCAATGAATCCAGTAGAAAAATGGTCAGTCAAACTGGGGATTCAAATCTGCAAGAAGCAGAGAGTAATCAGATAACTCCCCACCACCACCACTGTCCAATGACACCAGTAAGAAACAAGCAGACCCAATCAACAGAAGAACTTTCTGGCTACAGTCTAGATGGTGGGCAAGGGCACCACAGACAGACAGACAGACTCCTTGTGTGTCAGGAGCCTCACCTGCTCAGCCTTCCATATATCCTCCCGCCTTGATTCCTGCAAAGGAAGCTCTGCTGCTCCTCCAGCACAGCTGCTGGTGGAGACCCCCACAGCCAGCCTTGAGACAAACATCAGAAGAAAGTTAACAGTGAAATGCTCTGGCGGATCTAATTGATTTTTTTCCTATTGGTTCCCTAATATAGGCAACACTGTTCATGCCGCTTTTCTGGGCTGGAGATTATGTCATAAATAAAGAGATTTGCTCCCTATTTCCATGTGCTTATCTTTAATAAGTTAAGAACTCAACAAGCTTTAGAAGGACTTGAAATAAGCAAGGGATCCGGTGACGGCTTTGGCTGTGGTGGTGGCAGTCACAGTATTATTTTAGCAAAGGGTAAAGCAGACGGCTGAGGCGCATGGGGGAGAATTCACATCCTTTGGGCTGCATTGGGCCCAGGCTTAGCTAGAAAGAACAGAGCGGAAGAAAAGGTGGGAGGGCCATAGGGAGAGTTGGTTCTGGCCAGTATGATGAAATAGATGGACAGGACCATGAACTAGTGTGGGTAATGTAGGAGTTAAAAGTGTAGGTTAGAGCCAAGTAGGCTTGGTTCAAATCTCAGCTCCGTCACTGCTTACCACCTGTGTAACCTCAGGTAAATTACTCTGCTGGGTTTTTTGTTTTTGTTTTTTTGAGTACTGGGAATCGAACTCAGGACCTTACTCTTGCCAAGCAGGCACTGTGCTACTAAGCTATATCCTGGGCTCCCGTTTATTTTTAAAAATAGTTAATAGCTACTTTGAAGGTTGTGAGAATCAGTTATATGCAGTGTGCTCAGAGAGCCTGGGCCAAGACATGTGCAGAAGACATGTTAACTTGTGTATGGAACGTCACCTACTTCAGTTCATTTTAAGTGTCACTGTGTCTCTGCCATGTGAGGCGCTGGCCAGGGCTTCGTAGGTGAGACAGACATGGCTGGCCCTGATGGCAGCAATACCCAGCCCCTGAGGCCAGTATAAGCTGGACAGCAGGACTGAGCATCCACACTGGGGAGGTCCAGAAAGGCAGCAGTAACCCTTCCCAGGGCGGCTGCTATGGCCCCGGCTTAGGAGTTCCTCACTCTCCAGGCCTGGGCACCTCGAAGATCAACCTACACTTGCAGAAGAAACCACATGACTTGTGCAGAAACAGCCCCGCTTCAGACAAGCACAGCTGCCACCTTCCTCTGTACATGTACATTTTTTTTTTTTAGTCTTTTTCCTTTTTATCGGTACCAGGGATCGAACTCACGACTGCCTGCTTGCAAGGTAGGTGCTTATGCCGCTGAGCTAAATCCCCAGCCCCTTCCTTTGGTCTCTTGATGAGCAGGCTCCCTCTCTAGCAGGGCTTACTCTTGCAAATCACCAGCGTGGCCTCATTGCAGATGGACAGAGAAGTGGAATCCTCTTCCCTCCGAGAGTCTTAATGCCTGAGGCCTCCCCCATTCAGAGTAGTTTCTATCTTGGGCCCCGGTTTTATATCCTCCTCCTCTCCTCCAGGCCATTGTGTGGACCAGCAGATTCTATGGCTTTAAGGACCAGTGACCTCACAGTCAGTTGCCATAGAGACCATTGTGATGTCACAAAGCAGAGGACAAATAGTTCAAGGAGGACTGGAGGGTGGGGGAGGGAATGCACAGCTAGAATTGAGAGCCACACTGGATTTTTGTCTTGTTTTGCTGCCCAGAAGTCGAGGTGGCTAGAAGCAAGTCTGCAGCCAGCTCCTGAGAGATCCTGACAGTCTCAAGGCCAAGTGCCCCTGTCAGTTTGCCTGGGCTCTCCAGAGACCAGGATGCCTTGGAGACCCAAAGGGAGAATCAGTGAAAAGCAACAGCAGAAACAACTGCACCACTTTGAAGCTGTAAGAAGTGGGAAAGGAATAGGATTAAGTGGCGGGAGGATTCTTGTAGCTGAAGATCTGCCTAGAAGGAGCCAGTGCATCTTTACCTTAGGAAACATGGACCAATGGGGAGCTCAGCTCCCGGTAGAGACAGCCTGTATGTTTCCCCTCCTCAGTCTGGCTGCTCCAGGAGCCAGCTGAGGTCCTGGCACACACAAAATGCTCAATAAATGTTCCCTCATTTGATAGACAGAGTGGGAGGGTGATGAAGGAATTGGGTAGGTGGTAGGTGCTTGGGTATGGGTTAAGTGAAGGAGCCAAGCACAGTGGCACCCACCATTAATCCCTGCTATTCCTGAGGCTGAGGCAGGAGGGTGGAGAGTTTGAGGGCAGTTTGGGTAACTTAGTGGGAACCTGTTTCTTCCTCTCTCTCTAAAAATTAAAACAAAACAAAACAAGATGAGTGAAGAGATGGGCAGATGACGAACCTATGTGTCACGCCCCACCTTCATGGAGGTAGGCACTTTCCACCCCTCTGGCTAGGTCTTCACGTCACTTCCTGTTTTCTTTTGGTAAGGAGACTCAAACTCAGGCCCGTGCACTTGCCAGGCAGACGCTGTGTCACTGAGCTACATTTCCAGCCCACTCATCCTTTAATTTTTTACTCAATCACCACCTCCTCAGGGAAGCCTCAAATTCCCATGTGGGCATCTCCAGAAGGCACCTCACCACTTCACATTCAGTCAGGTGGTCCTGTGTAGGTCTCAGAGCTAGACTATGACCTCTGTGTGAGCAGAAACAGGTTGTGTTTTCACTCACCTTTGAGCTAGGGATTCAAACTGGGTACTTATTAAATATCTGTCAGATGAGTGAATTAATAAGTAACCAACCCTCCTTAATCCTCCAAGCAGCCCACACTCCAGACACTGCAGGGAGACACAAGCTTCCTACAGGAAACCCCTGGAAGTCCCAGACAACTCAGATCCCTCTACCATCTTTTCCTGCAAAGGTTCACTGGTCTGAAGCCTCCCGAAGCCTCAGTGTCCTCATCTGTGTAATGGGGACAATAAATAGTACTGTGTCAAACTTACAGGATTATTGTAGAATGGCAGTTAAATTCCCTGGCTTAATGTTCCAGCAATAGCAAATAATAAATGGTAGTTTTGTTATTTTTGAAGTTCAGAAAAAAAAAAAAAAACATTGACCTCAGGGATTGCCTTTAAGATGAGAAACATACAGGAGTATTGTGAATTTGTTTTAAAATGAATATGGTAATCTTTTTACCTTCTATAAAATGTGAAGCAGCTACGAGTCCCTGTCTTATGCTCAAAAGGGAAAACAGTTATGCTCTCACATTTTTCAAAGTAATGCCCTAGTCTTGTATCAGGCATAAAAAGGGAGAGCATTCTTTTTCCAGCTTGACTTGGGGTGAGCACCCGGTTGGGATGTTTGTCCACACCTCCTGCCCCATCTTAGCCTAGTCCACTGAGTTGAGTAGAGCTGGCCCTAGGATTCTGTAAGGTGAAAGGCCTCTCCCCAACAAAAGAACAAAAGTTTTTGGCCCATGGTACCTCCTTCCTGTGTGTTGCATGATTAAATACTCTATGGTCCGTTGTCCAAGGTTCCAAGTTAGGTTCCAGGTTGGCCCATCTAGGCAAGAAAGTAGGGAGGTGACAGGATAGGTTTGGGGGTAAGCCTAGCCGACTTCACACAGAAAAGAACCCGGACATGTTTGAGGGATGGGGTGAGCCTCAGTCCCCCAGCCCAGCCCCATCTCTGTGGCCCCTTGCTGTCCCCCTACCAGGGGCAGCCCACAGAAGCTCACTCTACCTGATCACCTACTCATCACGTGGCCATCAACCTGGTTACTGGCTGAGTTCTTAGCTCCAGAGTGGCACCATAAACCTAAGGCCTCTAGACAGATGTATTTTATATAAGTTCAAGCGCAGAGAACTATTGAGTTCAGAAGATTTTATTTCTAGAGCTCTCTATATTTCTCTGGGATTATCACCTGTCTCTGTTCCCTCCCTCTTCTGGTTGTTATCTTTGGACTCTTTCCAAGCCAAGCTGCCTTGATTGCTCAGGGAGATGAAGGCTCCCAGAAAGGTTCCCATGGTGCGTCTGGTCTGTCAAGGGTGCCCTTGGAAGACCCTTTCTTCTTCTTCCTTCCACATAATTCTGCAAGTGCCCACAATGCCCAGGCAGCCAGTTCTTTTAGGAACTGACTTCACTAAGCCACTCTCCAAGCACCAAGGAACATAGAGGCCTTATGCCCTCCAAGTTGGGGAGGGTCACGCTCAGAGTAAGCCTTGGGGTCCAGAGGAGAGGGAGAAGGCCAGCTGTTCTCTTTCCTCCACGGTGCCAACCTAGCCTGATACCAAATTAATAGCATTCAAATGAGATGCAAGGCATTATGCAAATCTAGAGGAGAAGGCCACTCTTCCCAGAGCCTTTGGGCTGTTGTGGAAGGCCAGTGTATTGAGCCCTTTATGGAGGACCCCACAGACTCCCATAAACTACAACCCACGCACCTTCAACACCGGCCAGCAAGAAAAATCCAATGACACCAGCTCTCTGCTCTGCTGCTCACTCTGACCTCACCTCCCAAGCACTCAGGGCCCCTTCCATTCTGACATGATACAGAGGGAGCCTCGGAGGCAGTACAGCCTCCCTGGACACTGGTTCTCCCTTCATCCGCAATGTATGCAAAGTAGATGCAGGGGTTTTTGCATCTATTTAACTGTCCATTAAAATAGCTCCACAACCGGTCACCTCCGCACAGGCCCAGGATTCCAAATTACCAAGCCCTGCTGCCTGCAAGCACCATGTGGTTCCTGAGCCTGGTAATTGCTGTGGTGTTTGTTGAGCTGTATTTGCATTTGATTGTCATTTAACTTTCCATCTTTATCCTTCAATCAAATCAGGATTTGGGCTTCTGCAATTGATTATTCGTCTTATTTTCAGTCCCTTCGTGGTTTTCAGAGAGTTTTATTAATGCCACAAACTTGAGCCCTGGGACTTTTCTCCCTCGACATGGATGGGGAGGGTCTCCACCTACCTATTCCAGGACTACTACATGAAAACAATCTAGCCAACATCGTGGATCTCAAGCCCTATCCCCAGTCTGCCTGTTCCAGCACCTGCCTCTTTCTGCCCAGCCAGTAGCATTAAACATTTATGGAGCTGTGGAGGATCAAAGGCCTCCGCTGGGGGTGGTGGGCAGGCTGGAGGCCTCTGAGATGGGAAAGTAGCTCACATCAATCCACTTTCTACTGCAGTTTCCATCCACCCTGGGCTCTTGCTACAGCTGAGCTGGTCCCACTCCTAGAGTGGGAGGAAATGCTCAGAATCTAGGACTCTGTTTATCAGTCTCCTCTGTCTCAATTGCAAGGATTACTTTTAGGTAATCCAGGAAGCCAGACTGTTCCAGTGCTACAAGGTTGTTAGCCCACTCTGAGAATTGGGTTGAGGTGAGCAGACAACTCTGTGCCCCTGCAGTCTCTGAAGTGAGGCAGCAGCCCCCCTGCTTCTCAGAAACCCCTTTTACTCCACAGAAGATACCGCTCTTCCTAGGCATAGGGCTGCATAATCTAGGAGGCTGAGGCAGGAGGACTGCAGGTTCAAGCACAGTCTGGCAATTTAGGAATTTGGCAGAAGTTTCTCTCAAAATTTAAAAATATAAAGAGCGCTATGAAGGCTGGAGATATAGTACAGCATCACAGCACCTGCCTGGCAAGCTCAAGGTCCTGAGTTCAACTCACAGTACCAAAAAATCACTGTGGATGTAATTTACTGTGAAAGTTCTGGGTTCCATCCTTACTACCAAAGGAAAAAAAAAAGATGACTGGGGATGTAGTCAATCCCTAGTACCACCAAAAATAAAAAACTATAGCTCTTGTTTGCAAGCTGTCTCCTCTTCTGTCTCAGAAAGCAAGTGTTACCCTTGCAGAGACTTCAGAATAAGCCATCAGTGTACAAGGCGGTGGGCCGTTTGGGAGTAGCAAGTGATGTTGCTTCGGCAGGGATGTGGACAGGAGTTCTGACATGGTCTAGGCAGGGACTGCAAGGGGTACTGGGATTAAAACACCCCTTCTTCCCTGTCAATCCCAATCCAGCAACAGCAGCTTTCATGACATGAAGCAAGTGCCCCCTTCTCCATTACCTCACTTACAGTGATCTCCCTTGGACTTTAGACAGTCTTTACACCTATATGTAGTCACAGACATTTATTGAGCATCTGCTATGTGCTTGTCACTGGGCTAGGTTGGGGGTAGACAAGACCAACTTAGTCCATGACTTCACAGACTGTACAACTAGCAGAGAAGAGAAGACAGAAACTTAGCAATTACATGTACAGGGGACCCAGGGTCCCCAAAGAGACACAAAGAGAACTAGAGAAATGACACCAGTATGGAGGAATTTTTCAGTTCCCCAGGTGCCACTTTCAGATGTAACATATATATGAATTTAGTACACTATAAGCCTGTCAGCCCTATATATAGCTGAATGTCCCTTTGTACATTTTATTGTGCTCAATTTGTGGGTGATGCCAAGATCTAGGAAGAGTGGACCCCTTGGAGGGTATGAGAAAAGTGGTGCATAGCAAAAAGTCTACTGCTTGCAGAGTCGGCCCAGGCTCTGCCTCAATCTCACTGGCAGCCCATCACATAGAAGACTCATGAAGCGTATTTAGGGAGGAGGGAGAGCCCCGGGGCATAATTATTCCCATATGCAGTGCAAGACTATTCTTTAAGCTCAGGGCCGAATGCTGTCTTATGGGGCTTGAGGTCTCCAGTGGACCCCCTTCCTGAATGCCAAGGTGATTGCAAGCAGCAGGGAAGATGATGGGGAAAGTTATAGATGGCTCCTATCACGCTCCTTCTTCCAGACAGCGTCCTGCCCAGCAAGAGCCCGGCTGCAGGAGTGTCAAATGAATCCGTGCCACCTCCAAATTGTCAGGATTTCTCTTGGCATGCAGTGTTCACTGTCCCTGGGTCATGGTCACCCTTCTCCAAGTTGCCTCGTCCTGAGGGACCCAGGGATGTGGAAGGAGCTCAGAAATACCTTCAAGCAGGAATCCCGTGGCATTGGCCTAAATTTCTGTTTCTGGGCCTAGTTCTCCATTCCATTCTGGTTCTTCCTCTCCTCTGTGCCTTCTTTCTTGGCTTTCTCTCCTCACCTCTGGTCCTTTCATCAACACCTCCCCCTTCCTGCCATCCTTCTGCTACTGCTCTTTTTCCTCAGCTTCTCAAAACAACTGTCCAAAAACCTTCTCCCAGCATCTCCCTAGGCTAATTCCACACGCCACCTGCCTGCTGCCTGGGTGTCTTACAGCAAGACTGCTCTCTAGAGCCCTCAAGAGAATCTGGAAAGAATCCCTGAAGCAGAGCTGGAAGATTGTGAGGACAGAAAGACTAAAAGACTCTGGAAAACAAAACAAAACAAACAAAAACTCTCTGAGGAGGGAGACTTAAGAGCATAAGTTTTGCCACCAGCTTTTAGGATGAAAAACACTGGAAAAGCAGTGGGCAGTGGCTGGGTTCTGGGTCAAAACTAAGATCAGAACTGCCTTCTCAGGAGCCAAGGTCAGTCTTCATCTCCTTTATATAACATCAGTCACAAGGTTATGTGACTGAACCCCACTGAACCCCTACACATGAGCCCAGCCATGGACTCCTGCATCTAAATGGCAGCCTCAAGGATGATACACTCTCACTGGTCCCTTTACTGTCCTGAGACGCACTCCTGAGCCCAAGCACAGCCCTGGAAGCTTATTTTTCCATGTCATCAAATGGTACAGCTTTTTTGGCTCCTCCTTTGGGCCTCCTACAAGTCTCCATCTAAAATAGTCCTAGTGAACTGGGGGTGCAGCTTACCAGTGTGAGGCCCTAGGTTCAATCCTCAAGGATGATGATGATGATGATGATGATGATGATTATAAAGCCTGGCACACACCAGTAGTCCCAGAATACTGGGAAGCTGAGGCAGGCAGGAGGATTAAAAATTCAAGCCCAGGGGCCTGGGGATTTAGCTCAGCAGCATAAAGCGCCTGCCTTGTAAGCAGGAAGTCGTGAGTTTGATCCCTGGTACCGATAAAAAGGAAAAAGACAAAAAAAAAAAAAAAAATTCAAGCCCAGAGCTAAGGGTTTAGCTCAGCAGCACAAGCGCCTGCCTGGCAAGCCTTAGGTTGTGAGTCTGATCCCTAGTACTGAAAAACAAAACAGAACTTTAAACCCAACCTAGGGAATTTAGTGACTTAGTGGTACTTCATCTCAAAATTAAAAATTAAGGTCTATCACAAAATATAAAAATAAGCACATTATTATTATTTTTTTTAATTCCTAGAGCCCTTCCCCTATCTTCTCTACCAGCTCCTGGAACCTGAGCAGTGTGCAAAGGATCTGGGCCGAAGGCTCTAGCTGTTCATGTGGCTGATCTGGTCCCACAGAGGGGACAAAGCAGGATCCTGGACATCCAGGTTGCCTGAGGACCTAGCGTACCACCTTCGGTTCCCCACCACTTGGCCCAGGTTGCCTCCTGCCAATTGGAGAATGTCTCCCCAGGACACAAGTGCCACTGGCTTTTAACTATAATATCAGGATAATTAAGCTTTTCTGTGAGCACAGTTTGCTGCTGCTGCAGCTGCCTGGAGCCTTGGCATTTATTGAGTGCAAAGTAATAATTTATTGTCCTTTGTGGGCTCAAAAGCCATCTTCATTATGGGCCCAGGACGGAGCTGCCACAAGGACACCCGGGCCTCATCCACTGCCTCACTCAGAAATGTCTTCCCAGTTCACCCTAAGCGCCCTCAGGTACCAGGATGGGGTGGAGAGAGGTGGGAAGGCGGGGTGCTCTCTCACACGCAGAGTCGGGTTAAAATCTACCACCTGAGCAAGCTGCTCATGGGGGACAGGGTGGCAGGCTTGGCTGGGCGTGGGCAGCGCGCAAGGGAGGGGGCCGCGTGCCCACACTAGTAGGGCAATCCTTCCCCTGAGCAGGCGGTGGCGCGGGCGCCGCGCTCCTGCCGCCGGGCTCTGCGCCTGTGCTTGAGACTTTACGGTAACCGCTCCGCCCGCGCCCCCGCCCCCAGCCCCGCGCGGCGAGCCCGGCGCCGACGCCAGGCGCTGGCCGTGGTGCTGATTCTGCCAGGCGCTGGCGGAGGCGGTGGCGGCGGCGACCCCGCTCCCGCTCCCTGGCCGGACCCAGCAGGCTCTGCCCCTCCTGCGCCCACGCCTCGCAGAGCTCCTCGCCCTCCCGCCGCGGCCCCAGCCCGGGCGCGGCTGCCAGCAGCACCATGCGCCCGGCAGCCCTGCTGCTCCTGCCCTCGCTGCTGGCGCTCCTGGCTCACGGTAAGGGACCCCGGCGTCCGGCGCAGGACGGTGGCGGGGGCCAGGTCCCGGGGGAGGACGGGAAGAGCGCTGTGGCGCTCCGCTCCTCGCGTCCGGGTGTCCAACCCGAGCTCCGAGTCCTGCCGGCTGCGCTCCCCCGGCGCCGGCAGAGCCGGGCGGGGCGCAGGCTCGGCGGGCGCGAAGCTGCCGCGGCTCCCGCCATTCGCGCCCAGCCGAGACCTCGCCTTTAATCGTCTCCCCGGATCGAATGGGATTCTCTGCTGCAATTCATCCCGCCACCCCCTCCCCGCACACAAGCGCTCAGCCGCGCGCCACCTCGCCACACTCCGGGCGTCTGGGGCGCAGAGGCGCGGGCGGGGGGACGCGGCGGCCAGTCGGGACGGTCTGGCCGGCGGCGGGCGATCGCGCCTACCCCGCCGCCCGCCAAACTTCGCACGACTTTGCCGCGGGTCCCGGGGCCTCTCGCATCTTGACTGCGGAGGAAGCCGGCCTGCTGCCGTCCGGTCCCGGGGTTAAGGTGTCGCTCACCTCCCTCCGCCTTAGCACCGCCGCGCCAGAATCAGAATCTAGAGCACAATTTTGGGGAGACCCTCGGGGACCCCTGGGCCGTGTATCTGGCTCCTTGCTCTGCCCTGGACTGCAGAATAGGAGGTCCCGGGATAGTTTGTCCTCTCTGAAGTCCTTTACACACGCGCGCTCGCGTACACACACACACACACACACACACACTGAAAACGCCCAGAGCGCTGCTTCCCTCCGCCCTGTCCTCCCAGCCCTCCCAGCCTCGGCCGCAGGCAGATTCGTTGCGAGAGCACTGCTGGTGCCCCACTGTGCGCCCTCAGCCCCTGGCGGGGAGTCACGTTCTCAACTTCATTGGTCTCAGGGGAAGCCTGGGCTTGGAGTAGGCACAAAGGGAGTTTGGAGAAAGGATGCAGGCTCTGTGCTCCGGAGAAACAAGATTTTGGAAGCTCCTCTGGACCTGCCGTCCCGGTTTAAACAAGCTATTTTTCGAAGCTGATTGCTCAGGTCTTTCTCCCGCTCCTTCGCCGCCGGCTGGTGGGGTAGAAACCGCGCTCAGAGTTGCAAACCTCGGTCCCTTGCCGTATGGTTCGTAGTGCCTGCTGTGGAGAAGGAGAACGGGGGAGTTTCTAACCTCTGCGCCGGATCTTTGCACTCCGCAGCTGCGGTCGGGGCAGCGCTGGGCCCCTACACGGCAGATTGTTTGGCTCTACAGCCCCAAGGGCGTGGAAGCCCCTCCTTGAGCCTTCAGCTCATCTCACACGCAGCCTCGTGTGTCTGCCAACCACTTGGCCACACTGGGGCCTCCAGCAACACGGTAACTTGGAACCTGGTGTTTGTGTTGAGGGCAAGAGGAAAAATCCCCGAAGCCTCACCGCAGGGACTGAATGGACAAGAAGTCCATAGTATGACCCTCTGAATTCAGCATCTGACTGGGAATCTGGTCACAGCCTTGCTCTGGACAGCTCTCCCCAGGCATAGGGCCATTCCCTGGCTTGCAGTCTGAGGCCTCCTGTGTGAGTGTGTGGGTCTTCGTGTGAGTGTAATTGATAACTTGTGTGTCTGCGGTAGTAAATCCCAGGTTGTCTGTGCTTGGGGAGGTCTGAATAATGGGAGAGAATTCAGTAATGTCATGTGAGGCCACTAGTACACGGTTGCAGCCTCTGCCAGAGGACTCCCCGGGAGCTGGACAGAGACCTCAGGTCTCCAGGAGGAAGGCTGATGTGGCTGGGAGTTCCCTGAGGCCTGCTGAGTTTGTGGGGGTGGGTGTGGGGAGGAATTTGCCCACTCTGGCCAGAAGTCTGTTTGTCCCTCTGCTAGTGTACCCCTCTAACCCAGTAGGATTTCCAGTCCCCATTTTTGGATCAGAGGTCTGACTGCTGAGGAAGTCCTTTATTTTCACTCAAAGGAGGGGAGGAAGAAGCCTGGCAGGTAAAGGCATGGGCACCAGAGCTGGATGGCTCAGAGACCCCTCCCTCTTTAGCTATGATTCAAGATCCTGGTTGTTGAGGGTACCGACTCCTCTCTTTGGGAGACAGTACATTTGGCCATCTCAGAGTTCCTGGAGCATTCAGTGAAGGAGAGCCTCAAGGCACAAAGTCCTAGAGCTGTGAGCCTTCACAACTCAGGACAATGCATCCCTCAACCGAGCAGTCTTGCAACCCTCAGAGCTTTGCTCACATTAGAGACTCCAGCTGCAAGATGCAGCCAGGCATAGCTCAGAAGCAGCAGGAGTCCTGGGAGGCAGAGGCCCCAGAGGCTTTGGAGACTGGCTGAGAATGGGCCCATCCCATGGACTCAGTCTCCTATTCCCTTCAGCACCTTCTGTGAAGAATTGGCCCCAGGTCTAAGGGACACTGTGGACCGCAGAGTACCTGCCCAACCCATGGCCAGTTTGGAGATCCGTGCCATAGTGAGGCAAGAAGGTAGTGCAGGAAAGGCTGGGCCTGCCCAGGCCTGCTGTGTCAGTTTAATGATTTTTAATGAGCAATTACCTTTAGTCATTCTCCTAATTTCTGAATATCAATAAAGTTAATTAAACTCTGCATGTGTGAATGTGGCCTGCGGAGATTGTGAAGGTGGAAGCAGAGAAAACAGTGGGATTGGGTCCCCAGGGGTGGAGGCTGCTCTATGCTGTGTGACCTTGGACCCACTGTACCACCTCTCTGAGCTAGCTGGAGACTGCTGTGGGAGAAGGAGAAGTGCGGGCCTCAAATCTTAGTGCTATCTCTGTCAGGAACTAGAAGATGGCTTACAGGGGGTAAGGCACGGAGGAGAAGGAGGGAAAGGGAAGGAGGATCTGGCTTCCAGGATCCCCACTGCTGCAAGGGTACAAAACAAGGCTGCCTTACCCTAAAATGGGAATTGCTGCCTGCTTCCTCCTCTAGCTGTGCTGGATTGACAGCTCCTTCTTGAGTTGGGGGTTGCTGCAGAAGGAGCTGACCCTCTGTCCTACTGGGTTCCTTATCTTAAAGCTGACTTTAGGGTCAGCTGTGTGACACTGGGGACAAGGAGATAATCCTGGTTCCACTCAAAGCCCCAGAGGTTGATGAGGTGGGCAGAAGGTCCCTATGGGCTTCTGAGGAGATCAAAGGGGCCAGAGACTGCTGTGGGGAGGAGCGGGAAGCCTGATTTGGCTTTCTGCCCCTCACAGCCTAAGCACATCAAGCTTGGCAGGTCCTGGCGGCCATCCCGACCTCCTCAGCAGGTTGGCAGCTTAAAATGCCCTGGAGATGCTGTAGGGTGCTAATGGGGAGCAAGGAGACACAGGGGCTAGGTTTAATTAGAAACTAAGCTTCTATGCCCACCACCACTGAGGCTGCCCTAAAGTGGAGCCGTATGAGAAAAACTTGCTTCCTTAACCCCTCTCTATGCAGTCCCCGGCTCTGCAGCCTCCTCTGGCCCTTCTAGTCCCTGCCTCTCCAGGCCTGTGCCCCTCCCTCCATCAGCCCCCTGCGAGCTTATCTGCCAGTATGGGCTCCATTCAGGGATTCTGCGCCCCCACCTGGCAGAGCTGTCAGGCTCAGTGCTCTCCTCAACCCCCAAACAAGAAAGAGGACACAGAAAAGGACCTACAGGCAGGAGTAACTTTACTTAAGGAATCTTCCAGTCTACACGGTTAAGAGCACAGCCTGTCGCGTGGCCTCAGGCATGCTCCTGGCTTCTCTGGGTCTTCACTCTTCCTTCGGAGAATTCAGTGTAAAGTTACACCAAGTTCATGGTTGCCAAGCCTAGGAGCACATCTGGGCTTCGAAGGACTTCGTTAAGCCATGCGATTTCTGGGTTCCCAGGTTACTGGCCTACTCTCATGGATGGGGAGCCAGCTTTTAAGAAAGAGAGAGAGAGAGAGAGAGAGAGAGAGAGAACCTAGAGGAGGTAATGCTGCTACCCTAGTGCACAGGTCTCCAAGGAGGTTTCTAAGGACAATCCCAACAGAAAGCAACTCCAGGAAGATGGTAATTCAGGCAGGCCAATTCCTTAAACTAGCTAAATTCTCAGCAGCTTCTGAGATCTTGCCATTCCTTCTCCTGATATTCTTTGCCCCTCTAAGGGCCAATCTGGCTCACTCCAAATATCAGCTTAGCTGGTACGTCAGTAATTATTCAGCACATATTTATTGGGCATCTACTCTATGGTATCTCCAAGAAACCTGTCCTCCAGCCTGGGTCAGGGGACTCTTTCATGTTCCCACTGTCCCTTGCTTCACCCATCCAGGTGTCCATCTTGTTGGGCCACAAGTACCTGGTTGCTTGCTATTTCTCCCAGGAACAAATCTAAACTCAGAAAAGAGGACACAAGTCTGTTTTGCTCCACCATATATTTTGGGGCAGCTCAGGATGCCTATTCAGGAGAAACTAGGGTCAGCTGCCTGGTTAGTATGGAGAGTGCCCTCGGCAGCTGGCACTGCGTCTTGAAGCTGAGTTTGCGTAGCAAGCACACTATTTTTACATAGATTGTATGTTAGGGCTTTTTTTCCCCTTTCCTAACAGTTGGCCAATTATCCCAACTGTAAATTATAGCCTGTACTTAGTTTTTTCCTTCTACAAATTAAGCTGTCATGCTATCAGTCTGAGGTGGCTTGGGGGTGGGGTGCTGATGGCCACTCTTCGTGGGGTAAAGGCTCTCCCCAGTCAACACGTAGTGCTACCACTGCGTGTGTCCCCATTGGCACAGAGCCTAGCACACATCAGACATTAAATGCATATTGATAAATACAGAGAATTGCACAGGTAGACATCAGGAGAGATAAGCCCAGGGCTCAGCCTTCCTGACCCCTTCTCACAGCACCTAGCCACCCAGCCCTCTGCTACCTAAGCAGGAATTTAAGGACTCAGATGAGGGCAGGACAATCTTATGTTTTCTGGCTCTAAAGCCCCTCGTCTGTCTCAGTTTCAGACACCCTCACACAACTTGGAGTAATCAATGTGAGTGAAACGGATCAACTCCGAGCTGATGTGCCCTTGAATGGAGCGGGAAAGTGA